CGGGGGCCACAGTTCTACGCCCAGGTGGCTGAGGTCTGTGAAACAGGATCATGGAGAGCTAGGGAAGAGGGGGGTCAGCCTGTCTGACCAAGGTCAGTCCCACCACACTGGGACTTCCCAGCAGCCCCTGGCAAGGTCTGCAAGAGGCAAAGCTGGTTCCAAAGGATTTAGGTCAGAGACCCAGGCTTGGGATGAGGCTGGTGGGAGGCATCCTTGGGCTCTGTCCTGTGCTGGCCCTGCTGGGTGGGACACGGGCACTAGCAGGCCGTCAAGCCACTCTGACTTCTCGCGGCTTGGCCAGGTGCTGCCTTGGAGGTCTGGCACTTGCCTTCCAACCCTCTGAGGGCCAGCCTTCCCTGTCTGCTGAGCAAGGGTGGCCTGGGGTGGGGGAGGCAGGCAGATGTTTCTCCTGGCCACTCCACCTTGTTTCAGGACTTCCCCACACCCAAAGCTGGCCTCACTAACTGGTCACCATGGCCACCTGGGTCTGGTGCTCAGGCCATCTGCCTCAGGGAGGGGAGATGCTGGCTGCCCTGACAGTCCCCTCGGCCATCTGGGTGTCCCTGGGGGCAGAAGGGGGACTCACGCCTCTGCACGATCCACCATGGTTCTGATGAGCTCCCAGAGGAGGGCACAGAGCTTCGAGCAGGTCTGTCGCATCCACAGCCTGAGGTCTGTGACTACCTGGGGAAGAGGAAGAGGCACTCAGGGAGGAGATTGCTGCCCCCGGAGGGGACCAAGGCACTGCCAGCTGACTGCCACTTGGGCTCCCAGGGAGGAGGAGCTGATGGCACCTGGTCGTTCCGGCTCCGTCCCGTGTGCAGCTTCCCTGCAGTCTCACCGATGAGCTCCTGGGGTGAAGAGAGGCACAGGGTCAGGTACTGCCTGCTCACAGCCCCCAGGGATCCTTGCAGGACCTGCGGCTCTCCCTCCCTGCCCCAGGGCCCCCGGAGTGCCCACGGTTTCGCCATCTCTACCAAGGCCTCCCCAACAGAGGTCTGCCAGCGAGGAAGAACAGAATGACATGAGTGGCTGGGCCAGGTGGAGGGGGGCCGTGAGGCGGGGAGAGTCATACCTTCAGGCGGCGCTCATTGGCTGTGTGGATGTCTTCGTCATTCGGGTTTAGCTTGAAGGTACCCTGGGCCCACTCTTCAGCCACCTGCAGTGGGTGACAGCAACCCGGGCCCCTGTCCTGGTTTCTGCCCTCCCCGATGGCTGTCTTTGCACAGAAGTTAAGTCCTAGCACAGGAGTCCTAGCCCTAAGGGTGCTCCTCACACTTATACATCTCTGCCATAGGCCATGGGGCACATGGGGATGGATCACTGAAAGATGAGGAGCAGACATAGCACATGGCCACATAGCAGCTCTCTAACCAGACAATCACTCCACAGGGAAGCCACAGGCTCAGCACGCTGTAAGTTGTGCTCAGGAATTGGTGGGAGCCCAGGGTCGCAGGGAAGGGGTCTGGTGCAGCTTGGAACATGGGAGTACCTTGTCCAGTCCATGCAGTATCTGGTCCATCTCGGCCTTGGTGAGCAGCCCTGCCTTCTCCAGGCCTCGGCTGTAGGCCTTGCTGCCCTGTACATCCACCTCCCACAGATGCCGGTCATAGGCGATGGACGAGTTGAACTTCTCCATGATGGGGTCCACTGCACCCACGAACCGGCCACCCCATAGCTTCCCGCTCTACCAGGACAGCAGGAACAATCAGTCACACACCCACCTGAATAGTGCCTCTCAAAAAAGGGCCCCGAGGGAACTTGCTGATGGGGGCAGTGAGCAGGATTGTTCTCCTTGGACAGACAGGGAAACTGAAATTCAAAGGATGAGGGACTTGCCCAGAGCTCTCGGGAAGGAGCGTGGGAACGTGGCTGGATATGGAAGATATGAATGTGTTCTACTGCATGGTGGCATCCCCAGGACCAACAGAAATCCTGGTCCTTCCTTACCATGGACTAAGGTGAGAAGTCACCTGTTGGAACCTGAGTTTCACCAAAGATAATGACATGTATATAAATATTGGTGAGCATACACTGCTTTCTGTCTGTGTGCCAGGCACCGTGCTAACTGCTTGGCATGTGCTTACGGCAACCCTCTGAGGTAGCCACCACTACTGTCCTCTACAGAGAGGAGCCAGAGGCACAGAGCCATGCAGCTGGCTCCCACCAATGGCCGGGACTGCAGCCCACGCCTTAGCCCCATGCTCCACCAGGATCCCTCTGCTGGGCTGTGGTGTCCTGGACCTTCACAGCAGGGACTCGAGAGGCCTCGGCTTCCTGCACCTCTCTTCCTCATTGCCTGGGGATTTGGAGACCACTGACCCCTCACCATTGCTGTCTTTCTAGGAGGCGAGGACCCGATGAGCTGAGGACAGAGACAGGACAAAATCTGTGTTTTGAACGAGGGCATAGGCCAGGGCAAGGGGCAGAGGGGCAGAGGGGAGGGGCTGTGGAACACCTGGGAGCAGCCTGAGCGCCAAGTGCCCAGGACCAGGAGGGAACATGCTGGCTACTTCACCTGCATCATGAAGGGGAGGCGTGTCTACAAGGGGCCAGTGAACAAATGTCCTCCTCCGCCCCCTGCAATGCCCTGCCTCTGTAAACCACTGACCTTGGGAACACTACACACCCTCTCTGACCCTCAGGGCTGCTTCTTTGAAAGCAGGAGTAATAACAGCACCTGATAGTCTTGCTGTGAACACCCAATCGGATATATGTGCCACACACTGGCACAGTATAACACCGGTGCTAGAGAGGGCTCAGTCAGTGCTCTCATTACTGGGGAGTAGCCAGGGATCCTGGGGCTGCAATGTGCACCTCAGGGGCTGGCAATGCTCTGGCCCCAGGCTGTGAGCTGATCCGACAGTGCCCAGCGGGGCTCTGCCCTGTAGAGGCAGCCTCCACCCCCACCAGCCTTGTGAGCAGGGCTGACCCTTCAGCTGCCCCACTAAGATGATCTTCAGCAAAGCACCCTGTGGGGCCGTGGGCCTGACCACAGGGGACACAGGGCCAGAGCCAGCTAGTCAGAATCCAAGCCAGCCAGGAGCCTGCTGGGGAGGAGGCTCAGCAGACTGGCACCGCCTCCCTTGGCTGGCTTCAGGGCCTCATTGCCTGAGTTGTTAGTAATAACTACAACTGTAACAAGCAGAGCTGCAGCCAAACCAATTAGCACCATCCCACAAGATGGCCTGGGGCAAGCTGAGGCCACCCCGAGGCTGGTCAGAAGGCAGACCACTGTACTTTGGGACTAAGCTCCCATCCCATTGGCAGGCGTTTAAAAGGATGGCAGGAGGAGGTCAGAGTGAGGTGCCTCCAACTGGTCACTGAGGAGAGGGTAGGCCCATCATGGTAGGAGAGGGCACTGCCCCCATCCAGGAGACAGCTGGTCCAGAATGAACTCTGGGGGCAGAAGGGCAGGGTTGAATGAGCAACAGCCAACTTGCAGTGCACAGGGAACATCATGTTGTCCTTTTAGCCACCATTAATTGAGTACCTATTTTAGTGGCCCTGGAGGAGGGATTCCAGGAGCTGTTACACCCTGCTTTGAGGTGGGCACTGTTACCCCTGCTTTACAAGTACGGAAGGATGTTTAGAGAGCTCAAGTGACTCTGGTACAGAAACCGAGTCTGTTTGGCTCCAAAGTCCAGGCCCTCCACCACAATCCAGACACTAGCAGGGCAGACATTCTTAACCTGTTTATTCTGATGAACTGAGAGAGAGGAAGTGACTCGCCCGCTAATGAGGGCCAGAGGGACTGGAACCCAGACAGCTGCTTCTCAGGCCTCGAGTTCCCTTCATCAGCTTCAAGCTAATAGCCTCGTTTGCTTGAAGGGTTCAAAGCAATGACCTCATGATCCAGTACCTTAGAGATGAAGGCAGGCACCTGTTATTATCCTAATTTGCTAGATAAATCCACTGCAGCCCAAGGCAGGAGCCTGTGCTTTGGACCCCTGCCATTTAGAGGTCAGAAGGAGACACTGTGAGATAGGCCGAGGTCAGGCACCCCTTGAGACCAGGGAGGGCCACAGTGAGGCTCCTACCTACTGGCTCTTCCCACAGGCCAGAAGTGGACAGCAAGGACACTTTCTGGCTGCTACCTTTTCTATATACAGGGACAGCTTCTGTGCAGGAGAGGGGTACTGTGTAGGGTGGGGACTGGCAAGAGGACATTGGGAAGAAGGAAATGAAGAGATGAGAGAGCTGCATGTGTGGATGGCACCTTTCTGGATGGTAGCAACACTGTCAGGTCAGGGCAGGGCCAGCCAACCCCCAGTCGTCAGAGGGCTTTCCACTAGGGTCATCTAGGCACAAGGTGGGGAGTGGGAAGACAGTGATGGGAACACTAGTGAGCATTGGCAAAGGTCACTGCAGGGCTTTGGCCAATGTGCCCAGTGGTGCTGGCCTCCTGGAAGGTGGCCCACCGCAGGTGTGACAGGAGAGGTTCCTGCGCTCAGGTGGCGGCTGGGGCTGGCAGGCCCGGAGACCGGGACCCCCAAGGCCTCACTCACCTCTGATGCCATGCTGGGCGGTTCCGCGTGCTTCAGGCGCGTGGGTCCTCCGGTCTGGAAGACAAGACCGGACTGGCGACTTGGGCCACAAGGTCCTTGGGGCGGAGCCGCGCAAAGCCCGGCAGCGCTGGGCGGAGCGCAGAACCGGGAGGCGGACGCTGGCAGCCCGGCGCCCCCGCTCGCGCCGGGTCCCCTATCTCCAGTCCCGCCCTGCCGCCCGCGCCGCCCGCCCCGCGTGCCCAACACGCTCACCCCTCTTGGCCGCGCAGTCCCCTCTCCTCCGCCAGCAGCGCTTTTCTGGCTCGGACGGCGTCAGCAAAGCCCCGCCCTGTCCCCGCCTCCAGGGGAGGTCTCACCAATCCGGGGCAGCCGAGCGAGGTGGGCGTCGCCCCAGCAGCCCAATCACGTTCACGGGCGTGGCCATCCCGGTGGCGGTGGGCAGGGCCTGCTCTGGGAGCCCTGACCAGCGTCGGAGCTGCACTGGCAGACGCGCAGGCATGGCCGATCCGGGTGGGGGTCGACAGTGACAACAGGCTGAGGCCCATGTAGGGTGTGACAACAGGCTGGGGCCCATGTAGGCCACACGTGTGAGGTGAAGTGGCAGGTTTGCCATGCTTTCACTCATTCATTCATTCAGCAAGCACCTCCTGCGCGCCAAAGGTAGACCTGAGAAATGACTCCCGTCCCAAAGAGAGTAGAGAGCCCAGAAACCGTGAGGCAGAGCAAGACCAGGGTGGCTGCAGAGTAGTTCATGAAGGAAGCAGGGTTAAGGATCCAGATGAGGAGGGGGTTGGACTTTCTTGCAAATCCATTAGAAACACATCGAAGAGTTTCAAACAACATGCTTGGTTGGAATTTCATTTTGTTCTGATCTCCTGAGCTAAATTGTGGAAATCAAATTTTATGAAAATGTAAGTCACAAGTTGGAGAATGGTCTCTTCTTTGGGGGGGGGGGTTACCAGGATTGAGCCCAGAGGTGCTTTACCACTGAGTCACATCTGCAGCATTTTGAAAAAATATTTTATTTTGAGTAGAGTGCTCACCTACAATGCGTGAGGCACTGGATTCGATCCTCAACACCACATTAAAAAAATAAATAAAAAGATATTGTGTCCACCTATAACTGAAAAATAAATATTAAAAAAGATTTTATTTTGAAACAAGGTCTCATTATGTTGCTGAGGCTGGCATTGATTGAACTTGTGATCCTCCTGCCTCAGCCTCCTGAGCTGCTGGGATTACAGGTATGTACCACTCTGACAGGTTCAATAGCCTCATTTTTAATATTAAATCATATGGATCTCCAACAATGCAATGGTGTGCTCCTTTAAAACAAATTTCACCCCAAAGGTATACACAATAGAGTGCAAAAAGCCCTCACTTAAAGCAGAGGTAAGTTATTTGTCAAGATCTCTGAGCTTTGCAACTACATGCAAAGCCCTCTTTTAAAATTATGTTTTTTACTTTATTAAGGTTTTCTTTAAAAATAAAAAGAAATACAGGGTTAGGGTTAGGGTTAGACACCTGTCACTTAACAAGGATTGAGAATTTGATTCAATCCCATCCATCATTTCCACTGTGCTATGTGATCAAGACAACCCCAGCAATTCCTGAGTGGACTAACCTCAGTCCCCAGATGCCAGCAGCCCTGCCCTGTAGTCTGTAGGGATCTGGGTCTGATGGTGATCAAAGAAGTCTGCAATAATGAGGCACTTGCTGTTGCTCTCCAGAGCGACCCAAAGCCGTCTTCCTTCCAGCATCTTCCCACACTGACTGCAAGGTCCACTCAGACCCCTTGCCTGGTGGGGCAGCTGCTAGACTGTGTTTGTACTGAGTGTTACCTCACACATGGCTGGGACAGTCACCTTTCAGAGCCCTCTCTGGCCTGTATGGACCAGAGGTCAGAGAGGGATATCTCCTAGTGTTTAGAGATGACCTGTTCTTCCTGCTCATCTTTCCTGTGTTGGTAACCAACTAGCCAGTGACAGGCACAGTCCCGCCTTCCTCTAGAGACAGGAAAACCATCCTTGGGTGTTTGTTCAGGGACATGGCCTTTTCAGGGAGAATTGGTGATTAAATTCATTCTAAAATCATTGCCTGGAGACCAAGGAAACAATATCAGAAAGGAAATGTGTGTCTATAGGAAGGAATGAAGAAGAGGATTGGGCAGGGCACAATGGTGCGTGTCTGTAATCCTAGTGGCTTGGGAGGCTGAGGCAGGAGGATCACGAGTTCAAAGCCAGACTCCACAACAGCGAGGTGCTAAGCAACTCAGTGAGGTGCTAAGCAACTCAGTGAGACCCTGTCTCTAAATAAAAAAATTCAAAATAGGGCTGGGGATGTGGCTTAGTGGTTGAGTGCCCCTTAGTCCAATCCTCAGTATAAAAAGAAAGAAATAGTCTTGGTATCTATGTATAGAAGATGTTTTTTTCCTTTCTTCTTCTTTTTTTCTTTTTCTTTTTCTTTTTTTTTTTTGGTGTGAGTGTGCTACTAAAGGTTGAACCCATGGGTGCTTTACCATTCTGTCACATCTCCAGTCCTTTTTATTTTTTATTTTGAGACAGAGTATTGCTAAGTTGCTGAGGGTCTTGCTTAGTTGCTGAGGCTGGCAACATGTCATTGGAGTCAACTGGAGGGGGTATGTTTGAAAATTTCCAAGTGTTAAAAAATATTCACAATTTCATTGTTAAGACACTAATGAACCTGATACACACATACACACACACACACACACACACACCTTCTATAATGTGTATGTATCGGCTTTATTGAGATTTAATCGATACATAATAGAATACAAATGTTTAAAGAACATAAGATCTGACCTGCACACACCTATGAAACCCATCGTAATTGGGAGAGTGAATGCGCTCTTCATATCCAAAGTGCCCGTGCCTCTTTCAGATCCTTCCTACTGCCTCTCCCCACCCACCCCCAAGAAAGCACCCATCTGTTTTCAGTAACTATAGCTTAGTTTGCATTTTCTGTCCAATACCACTTGTGAAAAAGTCTTTTCTCCATCTGTGTTTGCATGTTTAGCACAAATCAGTGACTGCACATGTGTGAATTTATTTCTAAACTTTTTATTCTGTTTTGTGGCAGAATTGGTGCATTTTTATCCAATCCTATGCGGGGTTTTGTGTTGCTTGTGGTACTGGGGAGTGAACCAGCACTCTACCTGAGTCACACTCCCAGCCTTTTTTACTTTTATTAATTTTTATTATTTTTTTTTCCTTTTTAGCTTTATTTTGAGACATGGTTTTCACCAAATTGCCCAGGCCAGCCCAGAATTTATATTGCTGATGCCTCAGCCTCCAATGAAGCTGGGATTACAGGTGGACACTGCTGTTTTGAATACTGTGGTATGTCATAATTCTTGAAAGCAGGCAGTGTTAGCTTTTCATCTTTCTTTTTTTTTCAGAGTTGTTTTGACTATTCTAAATCCTTTGCATTTGCAGTGAATGTTAGAACCAGCTTGTCAATTTCTACAAGATGGGATTTCAACTGGGCTTGCCTTGGTTAATCAGTCAATTTGCAGAGAATTGATCTCTTAAGGACATTGAGTCTACAGACACATAAACCAAGTGTATATCTTCTTCTTCTTTTTTTTTTAATTCTCCCTTAATTTCTCCGAGCAATGTTTTCTGGGTCTTTCATGTCTGCATTAGTTTCCTAGCCCTGCTCTAAATAACTTCCACAAACACAAATTTCAGTTGATCTGGTTTAAAACAACAGGAATGTATTGTTAGCCATGAAGACCTCAAGGTCTCCGCGTGGCTGGGTGCTTGCTGAAGGCTCTGGGGAGGTGTCCTTCCTGTCTCCTCCTAGCACCTGGTGATACCCAGCAGTTCCTGGCCTTCTTGGTCCTGTGGCTGCCTTTCTCTGAGCTGCACCTTCACCTTCCCACGGGCTTCTTTCCTGTTCCTTGGTGTCTCCGTATCCAAGTCTCCTCCTCCTTTCTCTGCTGAAGGCACCAGTCATGGCGTTTAGGGTCTCCCCTAATCTGGTGTGACCTCACTTTAACTTGATTAAACCTGCAATGATCTATTTCCAGCTCAGGTCCTGTCCACAAGTAGTAGAGGTGACACAGTTCAACCCACCACGCTGGAGCCTTCATAGATGCCCTTATCAGACCGAGGAAGCTCCTTCTATTCCCAATTCATTGTCATTTTGCATAAGTGGTAAGTTTTGCTTATAGAGATTTTAATTAACGATGACACAGTTTTAAGAAAAAGGAAAAAGAAGGTTTATTGCTGTGCTAGTATAAGGTCCTTGCTTAGCATCTGGATGGCCATCTTAAGTGACAGCCGCCATTTTAAGGAAAAAGTTTCGCTTTCCCACCCAGGGGCCTTTCTGAGAAAGGCTCACCACCCCTCATACCAACTCAACCTCTAACCCACATAAGGACCTACCTGGCTCTGATTCCTGAGCCTCCCTCATAAAAGTCCCGGAACCCAAGCCTGTTTTGCCCTCTCCCCTATAGAGAGCCGGCCTTTATTGGTCAGCTCTGACAATAAACTCCGTGTGCATCTCTGCCTGGTCTTCTCCGTCTTTCATTTCTTGCTTACCTGTTTCTCATTCCTCACTTTTTTCTTCATTTTGGTCCGAAACCCAAGGTTGGTTTCCCTGTGTGCCCATACCCCTCTTCAAGGGTCATTGAGCATCCCCAGGCCCAAATCCAAATTCCATCAAGGGACCAGGCCCTCCATTCTGCTGAACGCCCTCTCTGCACCCACCACTGGACATTTCAGGTAAGATCCCTGTCTCCAGTCGATCTAAACAACCTAAGGGTCCCGGGAAGTGGCCATTGATTGTCTGGCACTCCCAGGGTTACCATGTGGTCAGGGGCACCCCAGCCACAGCTTTCACGGCTATGGCTGATCCCTACTGTTGACGGGGTCTATAGGTGGTCTGTTATTTGGACCCTGGGTTTTGAGAAAAAACCATGGAGGATGACCGGGAGTTGTTTCTGGTGAGCCCTCTCAGCCTTGGGTTAATCTCTACAGTTTGTGCCCCTACTACCTAGTCCTGGCCAGGCACCCGAGTGCCTCTATGGGCTCCTGCCCCAACACTTACCCAGCAGTGGTGACAACCCCCTGAGCGTAACTGTCCTCTTGACTGGGATATACTGGAGACTGGGGGATGCCTCACCTCTAGACTCATCTCCTACGTCTCACCATGGGCGGCTCCTCATCCATTCCCTCGCAATAGTCCCCTAGCTGACCCAGGGTTTCTCTCTCTCACCCCGGACCTAAAGCCCTAAAAGCTTATCTTTTTGTGCAATCAGATCTGGCCTCAATATCCTTTGGATAATGACTCTAAATGGCTGCTTAACGGCACTCTAGCTCCCAATATT